CACAAAGAAGGTTAATTAAAGTTGCCTGTGCATTTCTTAACTCCTAATTCCATTCACTGTAATCATGCTGACTCCATAACCATAGCCATTTGAGTTTACAGAGTAACAACAGAACATTTCCATTCTTTATGTGGACCAGTCATTAAAGGAGAATAAGGTGAACATTTTGCCACCGGCCTCTGCAGATTTTTGCTGACAGTGGAGTTATGCTGAGATTCAAGAATTATGGATTCCACTCCACATTCTGCAAGTGAGGGTTCCCTGCTGGAAAGACCTTCTGAACAGAGCTGTGACTCCTGAATATTTCCTGCTTGTTGTGGTCCCCTCTAGCCTGCCACTTTGCCAGTTAAGATGCATGGACCAGCTCCAGCCTCCTCGCCTTTCCAACTTCTCATTCCAGCCAAACTGCTGCTTCTAACAACCATCACTACAGGTTGATATTCTACAGCATCTGGTGGGAGCAGATATGTCCCTTCTAGTCCTGTGATATTCATCATGAGAAAAGGTGAGTTAAATAAAAATGACTAAGCTAATAAAAAAGGCTCTCCTGGTTAAAAGCTAAGTGATTACAGCTGCTATACCAGATTGGAAATGACAGAAGCATCTCATAAAAGAATCGCTACATGCACACTTACATCAAGAAAACAAGCAGAAAGGCTGAGCTGTTTATAAATCCACCATAGAGAAAGGGATCTATGAGGGGATCAGTAACTCTGTTCACTGAGCTCTCAAGCTCCACCAGCCTCCGAAAGGCTGCATCAATTTTAAGGACATATCTATGATACTCCCAAACCATAAGCATGTTTTCAAGGAGTTTCTGATCAATGCAGTCCCTTAGACTTCAAATACCTGCCTACAGGCTTACATACCTCCATACAGGATGGCTGGCATGCATGCATACAGGTTGCGATTGAAGGCTTCTGAGAGGCACCAAATGAGCAGACCTAACAGTGAAAAAACTTCTACCATGCTGCAAGTAGGGAAGAAATGGGAGAAAAGAAAAGAGGCTAATATGATAGAAATAGAAGAAGCAAGCAGAGAACAGACAGGACTAAATCAGGTGGATTGAAGAGGAATGGAAGATGATGGGGCAGAAGGCACAGAGGGAAGATGTCTAAGGGAAGAAAGAGTAAAAAGAGCAGGTATTAGGAAAGAAAAGTTAAAAAGGAGAAGAAGGGGAGCTGAAATGGCCAGGGCAGACAGCTGAAATACAGTCTGAGAGAGAGGAAAGAACAAGAAAACACAAAGTGAAGAAGAGGAAGAGGATACAGCTTGGGATGCAATGAGAAATACGTGATTCAGAGGAAAATGGAGTTAACAGGTATACAAGAAAATTCAATGCCTTAATCTTCTGCTCCCACAACCTCATCAATTTCTGAGTTAAAGGGAAAAAAAAAAAAGTCAAGCAAGTGAGAATACTGACATGGGCCTAACCCCAGAGCACAAACGTGAGAAGCTGGAAGCACACTGCAGCAAGAAAGATGCCTCAAGAAAAAGGGGTAAACAGCCAAGAGAATGCACATAATGCACATCTTGGGGGGAAAACAGCCACTGACTCATTTGAGGCCAGTTAGTGGTCAATAAAGAGACACCAGGTTTTGGGGTGGGGGGAGAAAAGCAAGCCCAGAGTACATGACTACTGGAAAAAAAATTACACAATTTTGGTTCTACCAGAGGATGGGTAAGGCTAAAGCTGCAAAAGGTCTAAGGTATTTGCTCTATGCTTAGAGGAGAAACTGGAACAGGTTTTTTTCAAAAAAGACTTTTACCAAAACAAATCAGGTGAGCACGTACAAAGTAACCTGTATTTATAACTATGGAACAGACTTGGAAATTTCCTCCCTTTTGTTGACCTCGAGCAGCAATACAACACCACGAACTGTATATTGTTCTCACTTGTTTACTAAGAAAACAGAGATTCATAGTTCTCATATGACAAATGAGATGTGGTAACAGCAAGGCCTACGAGACAAGATTTTCAAAAGTAGCTAATGACTCCGCAGACTTGGCTTAGCTGAGGTGGCACACTCTGAAAGACTCGGCTGCTTAAAGCTCTTTTTGTGAAGGTATCAAAAAAGGTGCAATTGCAAACTTCAAGACTTACTTTTGAAAGTATTGGCCCTGGACCATCTCTTTGAAGTTTTCTTATTTCAAATTAGACCTTCTTATTTTAAACCATTTTCTTTTGAATCCCTCTCAATCCATCCCAAAAATGAACCTAGTCCAGTTCCTACTACTAAATGCTGATTCTCGTTATCATAATTCTCATTTGGATAACACACTACTACACATTACGGCACACTGACACATACAACATTGCTTTGAGTCAAAGCTCTTATTATTTAAGGTTAACGACCAGGAAACACTGAATAGAAATAAGTCTCTACTATTTTCTAATGATCAAGTAAGCAATGACCTGTAGTAAACTGGCATAACTACATCAAATGGAAAGGTGTCCTCTCCATGAAGATCTAATATGTTAAAGAAAACCAGAAATCAATGTATTTTATCTTATATCTATATATGTTGATGCATACATACATCCCCCATGCTGTTTTTTGGCTGGCATAGAGTTAATTTTCTTCATAGCTAGTATGAGGCTATGTTTTGGATTTGTGCTGACAACAGTGTTGATAACACAGGGATGTTTTAGTTACTGCTGAGCAGGGCTTACACAGAGTCAGGGCCTTTTCTGCTCCTCACCCCACCCCACCAGCGAGGAGGCTGGGGGAGCACAAGAACCCGGGAGGGGGCACACTATTTAATCTTTTCTCTGAACACAGAGTTATTAATTTCTTCCAGAGCATTTCTGTGGCACTCTTCACTGCCATATCTAATAGTTCCCAAATTACATCTCCACAACACCCTTCTGAGCTTTTGTTATTATTATGTTACAGTCAACTCAAGTCAAGAGTGCCCATTGCCTGTTTGCTCAAGAGTGCCCAGGATTTCAGATGGGTCAGGACCATTTGTTGACAGCACAGTTTTCCTTGACTTGGCTATAGCTGGGTGTATTCAAAGCTTCCAGAAATCAGTCCCCACAAATCTTGGGTTGGAAATCAGAAATCAAGGAATCCGCCTCCTTGAGTATGTTGGGTTGAAGGTACCTTCCCAACATTGTAAAGAGCTTTTGATGGAGGCAGCAAGGAACTTTGGGTCTGCAGAGCGGCCCTAAAAGACTGCCCTTTCCTTTCCTGCAGTCCTCCAATTCATTTTTCAGCTTCTGTAACAAATGAAATAGCATCCCATGGGCAATCCAGCTGCCTGAATTATGTAATCCTGATTCTCACCCTGAAAACTCTGTCCCCATCTCCTACCCTTCAGCTGGTTTTCATGGCCTAGACACAGTCTTTATTTTTATCTAACTTCACATTGCTATCTACCTCCTTTCCATCTACCCAGGCCACCTCTCCTCTGCATGCCCGTGGGGTGGCTCCTTTTCCTCCTGTTTGGATTTCATCAGCAGGAGTCTGAGTCTAAAAGAGAAAGTTTTGCTTTCCAATACTATGATCTGCATCAGAATGGGCCCTGATCCTTAGGGGAGCAACAGTAAAAGATGCTCTTGCTGTGCTGTGTCCATACAGACAATTTTTACTGACACCAACTTTTCTGAACTGCAAGGCTCTCTGACAAGGTTGTGCTATTAACACAACTTCAATTGTTTTGAAGAGATTTTTCAAGAGGATGGAACATTCTTCCCATAAGACATTTTTTAGCATGGATAAAACAATGCTTTATCCAACCTAATACAGACAAAACAGCTGAATAGGGTTTTTTGAAGTAAAATATATATATAAATACTACCCTGACGCAGAGAGCTGATGGGGAAAATTTCAGCTCAAACAATGAAATACTAGCAAAGTTGTAAACCCTTTGAAAATAGGAGCTTGTAATAAAAAATGTTGGGCAACTTTAACGACAGTTGTTCCTGCCTGAATAGTTGCCTGTAGTATCCCTCCTCTAATGCTGTTTGCTTTATGAAAAACTCATTAAAAAAACCCCAAAGTTAAATTTATACTAAAATATACTTATCTAGGAAAAACTTAAATACAAAGTAATAAAAAAATTACTTATATATCATTATGTTATCATCATACAAGCAAGACTTGTCTGCATATATGAATGCATTTTTGAAGAAAAAAGAAGTGTCAGTCTGGGGAGAGGAATTGTCAAGGAAAAAAAAGTACAGCACTGTCTTAATTTTTTTGACTGTATGATCCTATTTATGTAAAAAGCAGAATCTGCCCCTCAGGACTAGGCTCTGAAAGATGTGAATCAGTAAAGATTCAAGCCTTTCTCTGTATCATTATTTTTCAGTTACATTTACATTCTCGGTTGCCAGTACAGACTCTAATGTGCAATCGTTAGAATCACAAAACCTGCATTGCAAAGGTTTGCATAAAAATTAATGAGCTTTCATCTCCAGAGAGTATGCATCCTTCCAGGTCACTGTGGAGGCCACTAGAGGTACAACCATGGCTGCTTTGACACTGGAGCTCATTCCTCATCTCCTCCACTTTCCCATCTCACCACATAATCAACTTTGGTGATAAAAAGAAATTGTTCCATCAAGTCTTTTACAAGACTGTCACAAGCAGCTTCATTCACTGCAACAACACTTATGAAGCAGCAAGTAGCTGACATCACAGGCTCATGGAATGCATTTACATTAACTGAAAAAAGAGAAGTAATCAAAAATAGCATAAATTACTTCACTATCACTGAACAACTAACTTTTGTTTTTCGTCCCATTAGAAATTGCAGTGCCAATCAAAGAAGGTGCTCCCAGACCTCTGCGTCCAGCGAAGTCTAAAGCATCTTTCTGTTGGCCATAACAGCAGGAGAAACAAGCTTTAGAAGTGAACTAAAGGTATATGACACATCAGAGCAATTCAGCATGGAAAAGAAACATTCTGCAAGAACATGCCCCCCCACAAAAGCATATGCACATACAATAAATTTTAACTGTATAAGCTGCCATACTGGCCAATATTTCTTACATCATTCAGCTGCTTATTGTGGGCTGGGATGATCGTATTGGTTAGTTGCTTATTCCCTGCCTTTAAAGCTGCATCTCTTCTTGCTTGCTCAAGAAGAACTCTTGCTCGTTCTTTAAGTTCTTCCTGTCTTGACAACATTCGTTGCTTAAAAATAAAGAAATATAATTAGCTGCAAGGCAGCCTTAGGGTACTTAATGTTTATACAGTAGTTAATAGCCAGGAGCCTTCCTATATAATAAAGGTCAGGAGACACATGGTGAGAGAGCATTCTATAGAAATTAAAAGTAAATATGATCAAAATGTAAAATTAAAAGAAAAGTCATAGGCCTTTATAATGTAAATAAGAGTTCTCTCCCCTCCCCTTAAAACTTAATTTCTATCAACATTTAGTGCCTTTAAACTGCAACTGTGGAAGAAAAAATAATTGGCTTCGTGGAAGCTATGTTAAATGTGCTATGTGTTTACTTATTTACTTTAATATGTATGCAAATACAATGCTTCGTTGGCTACTTATATGGGTATCACTCATTTATAACTTAAATTGAACACAAAGATGCTGGGTACAAGGCAAAAAACCTGCAAAAATATCTGTTTCTACTTTATTTATGAATATCCACAAGAAAGTCCTTCCTTCATATACACAACTGATTATATGGCAGAGTAGAAATAACAGAAGGGGGGCTTCTGCATAGGCAACATGAGCAGCTCCCATACATATATACTCCCAAGGCCTGACTTCTTGGTCAAGGTCAACTGTGAAGACGCTGGGAAAACATGCCTCTAGGCCTTTACACGAGGTAGAGCTGGGACAAACGTTGCAGGTTGTGGTCCTGCAACAACCATGTGGAAATTGAGGTGGTGGACTCTAACCATAAATTGAGTATTCAAGGTTAATACTGTGGCTCACATCTGAGATTCTGTTACCGTGTGCAAATGCACAGAAGCTTAACAACAGAGAACTGTCTTTACAGCCATCTCTTCCTTTTGCTTGGCCTATGATGCCTTGCACATGAAAATCTTCGTGTAGAAGACATCCTGTTTCATCCTATTTTATTATTCTGCATGGGCCAAATTGTTCTTTTCTCATCTAGTACACAAAGATGATGATGAAGAGAAACTTCATGAGACCTCACTAATTAAAGGAAGGAAATTAGCTAGCTGTGGAACTAATATTTGGCCACTATCACCCATCCATGGACTGCTTCTCTCACAATAAAATTAATCTTTATGGTGCTTAGTCAGGAGAAAATGTAAAAATATTTGAAGCAATCCACACTACCAAAAGACTGGCTACATTTTTTCTTATCAGAGCTAATGGCACAAAGCTGAACAAAGCCAAAATTCAAGAAAGCTCTTCACAGGGGTAAAATTATAAGTGCGCTTTGGCATTTTGTAAACACGGCTGATAACATTTTTTACACATTTTTGTGACAATACCATTTACTGATAATACCTATCGTTTATATAATATTCAACTTTCATCCTCACAATAAATCTGCAAGGTAGGTGGGCATATCCTTTTTATCTTTGATTTGCAAATATGTTTGGTATATTTTAAGGGTATTCAAAACTTTACATTTTTTGAATATGGATCAATGAATTAATAAGTAATTTTCCAATTTCTGCTTCGGCATGCAATACTCAGAAGAAAGGTGGCAAAAGCTTTGAAACCATCTTCTTTGAGCTGGTTGAGAATATAACATTACTTCCTTTAATTGGAGAGAGATTGGAAAGATTAACAGTAGGACAATTCCTATAAACGAATTTTTCATGTAATGGCTCTTTTTCAGCATCACTTACTTTCAGTCAGAGTATTTATTGCCCAACAATAAAAATACAGTGCCCACCTTGCCATTTATACTAAAGGTATGGTGTAAATTACAAATATGGAGAAAGAACTTGAAGAGCATCTCCATCATGACTCACAGGCATACGGAAAGTTTAAACATCTTACCTGGGCTGTTTTTGCAGTTTGATCTGCATGATTTAAAGCCATTCTGGCATCATTGTCAGAATCAGATTCTGTTTGCCTCGGAGAAGCATGCGGTTTCTTTGCAAGATCCATATCCTTATTATAGGAGTATCCAACTTTAGAAGTAGGAGATAAACTTGGCTTTGTGACAGGTGAACCAGGATCTGCTCTTATGCTCTCTGTGGATCCTATATGCCCCAGCTTTTCTTGCTCTGAGAAACCAATGGTACTGTCTGAGCTCTGGTGTCTCTTCTTGTTGTTATCTTCACAAGCAACTGTGGGAGACACATCCTCTTTTTGATCACTGATATGTGCCAAGTCACTCAAGTCTAAAGTGTCAGCTATCAGCAATTTCTTCCTTCCCAACGTAGGCTGCGTTTGTGTTGTATCTGTACTGGTGCACTTGCCAACGTCTTCAGATGCAGAAGTCCTTCCAGAGCTCTGCTGGGATTTTTGTGGATCTGTGTCACTTCGAGTCCTGCGAGAAGAAGGGGAAGCTGTGCTTGGGCTTAAATGATCATCGGGAGTCTGATGCTCGCTCTCAGATTCACCAACACCACTGTCGTTTACAAACACAGAGTCATCCTGAGAAGCAAAGTCTGCCAAAGCACTGTCTGGTGGACGCAGCTCAGGCTCCCGGTTCAGGTCGTTCAGCTCTGCGTAGAATTTTTCCTGGTCAACAGAACTGTTTGTGTCCGTTTCATAGTTACCCACTTTATATGTGCTTTTACTACTGTTCTCCTCTATTTGAACCACGTTTAATTCTTGGCCACAGAAATGTGCCCTTATTTGATAGAGATAGGTCATAACAGTCAGTTTGTCAGGTATCGCTAATAAAACCATGTCAGAAGGTTCCAGCAATCGTGATATTCCTAAACTGGCAAACCCATCGTATGCCTTTAAAAACAGACAAAATAAAGATTACAATGCAGCAATTTCTTACATATCACAACATTTCAAGAATGCAAGATATGCCTAAAACATATCCAGTATTAGAGTATGGGTTCAACTCTATTACTTATTATTGGCTTCATTACAGTAGTACAGTAGTTACTACTTTTTGTTGTACAATCCAATCCGAACTCATAGATTTTTCCCAATGGCTTCTAGATATCTCCCAGGGTATCTTTATAGCAATGCAGATCGAGAGAATATGACCAGTAAAGACACTCAAATGGCATTGTTTTAAATATTTTTAACATACTACCATACTATAAACAAAATCTTTGGTTACTCACAATGATGCCACTTTCATGAGTAACAAGATGTTCATGAAACTGCAGCTCAAAAGCCCTTCTGTTTGCACTAAAAAAACCTACCAATATCTTAAATGGTTCTCACTCAAGTAGCAGGAAACAAGCAAATAAAAAAAGTGTAGGAGTTGGACCAGAAAAAAGCAACTAAGGATGGCTTTTTAAGATAAGGAACAGAGATATAAGAAACATGACACTAATCCATCTTGGGCTTTATCACTGGTGATCAACCTTCTCCCTTCCTACTGGTCATGCAATTGCAGCGATTTGTGTTGATGAAAAACTATATCCAGATAGCCAAAAAGAACATCACCAAAGATTACTTGATAGAAAACATAAATCATATTAATCCAGCAAACAAATACTTTTAAAAACATTTGTCAATGTTAAATTTATATGAGTAACAGAGTGAATTTCATTCTCACTTCACCTTAGTTTCTAAAAGCTAAACAGTGTGCAAGCCTCCACTTTGTGAGGCCACATTCTCTTCTTTCTGTTAGCCCTTTAAGTGAGTGGGCTTGGTGCATCAGGTTTTTCTAGTTTTGAAGAATTAAAGCCGTTTCTCAATTTACAATTAATTATTACTATCCTGGATTAAGCCTGGAAGACAATATTGTATTTCAAGGAAGCCTTTAAAAAGGCCTCCTGTTAGTGTAGATGCACTCCATTAAAGCACTCGGACTTCTCCACCCCCAGTAATTCTGCAGCTCCATTTCACCCTCTTCTGAAGGGTCTAAAATGTTCACAGTTGTTCCTACACTATTTTGAACAAAAACAGATGCTAAATTTAAGACATGGATGAGAACCTGTCCTTTCAGAAGGGAACACTAACACACATCACTGGCTTCAACTCTACCCCAGTTTTACACTATTTCCTTAATTTATACAGCTTTAGAAGGGTGGAAGAACAAAAGAAAAGAGAAATAAATTATTATTTATTTTATCCTCTTGCTTTTCATAGTAGTAAAGGTTCAACGACGATTTAGAACGTGGGTCTGGCCTGGCTGTCTCCTGGCAGAGCCGGTTATTTTACTTGCTTTGAGAAAAGGAGGCCTCTCATTCCCATTGCAATGTGCTGGAGTCCTTCCCTACTCGAGAGTCAAGTACTTTTCATTTCAGCTGTTTTTCAAACTCTGCTTCTGAGAGCAGAAATTTATCTTCCTGAAATTTTGTATGCTTCCCCTCATGCTCAGATGTAACTCGCCAATGCATTTTTGGTGCAGTAATTTTTATATCTCTATAACAAATGATTCAGAGAGTTTATGTAGACATAGAAATTATCTGAATTTTTAAGTCCTTCTGGCTCTCCCTGTGCAAAATGATTTGGCCTAAAATTGTTGCTGGTCTTTGTGGGGTATAATTTCTTGGGAAGGTTTATTTGAGAGATTGTTACGCCATTTATAAAAGCAGACCTGTGCTTAGATATAGGAGTAGCAATGGAAAACATTAATGTTGTATTTGTCGATACAAAGCTCCGGATGGAGCAGAATAGCAGGAAAATGATGGGTGGGATGGAGTGGAAAGAACCTGGATGGCAGAAAAGGGACAGCTGCCATTTACCTGGTCTTGGGACACAGAGCTGGAGGAGCAGGACCAGGTTGGATACAGAGGAGAGGGAGACAAGAGACCTGGAACCGAACAGACATGAGGAGCACAGAAAAAGGAGAGCAGAGCAGGGATTTGGGAGGGCAGCCCAAGCCATGGCAAGTACCGGAATGATGAATGCTCATACGCCAGCAGAAAATAGGCTGGGTATGAAAGCATAGCAAGCCAGCTGTGCTGTCCCACGGACCAAACGTAACACCAGGATTTGTTTTTATGAAGTGGGTCAGTGCTGATTCAGTGGCATAAATAACCTGTTACCCCACACTGAAGGTAGTGGGAGTTACCATCTGAAGAATGAAAGGACCCAAGGACAGGCTTAGCAGTCCATGGCAGCCAAAGTCCACAGACATGACTTGACCCGAACTCTTTCATACTCTTAATTTCTTATTTATATGCTAATAAAACTAAATCCTAGGAATATCTCCCAGGGTCTGTAAAATGAAGGTAGGGACAGTGTTTCAGAGTTGTTAGGAAAGGCACTTGCCTAGAATGGGTAACGCTACAGCAGAAGGACTGAATTTGGAACTATGGATATTCTTGATACAGCTGCAATCAGTTTTTACTGTCTGCTCGGTTCTTCTAGTCATGCTTGGGACTAAACATAATAGTTTTCCACTGATGCCAGATACTTATTTCCTATGCCCTCTTCTTCTCATTCTGGACAATACGCATTCTTGTTTTTCTGCTTTTAAAGTGCACTGGATATCTAGAGTGTCATGCAAATGTTTTACAGCCATTAGTTCTATAAGTAGCAATCATGTTCTGTACGTGTCCATATAGCAGCATGTAATGCATTCTCCCTGTTAGAAAAGCTGCACACTTCTTGATATTCCAGTATATTTATAAATGCCTAGTGTTTCTAACTAGTTTGTAACACGGTATCAGCAGGGTAAATTTTCCAGGTCAAATTTCTTTTTGTTAAACAGAGGCATAACTAAGCCTTGAGTTTGCAAATGTTTATATGCATGTTTATCTATGCTCCTGCATGATCCTACCAAGATCAACAAGCGACTCCTACACACACAATTAAATGCGTGCTTACGATTTTATGGAATCAAATAGTAGAAGCGAGCATGAATACCTGTTATAAAAATGTCTGCCAGCTTACAGGTAAGGAATTTTTTCCATTTTTACTCAATGCTACCCCTTTAATTCTGAATTGTTTTGTTTAAATGTATATTTTAAAAGTATTCCTTTCTTGCAATATGGAATATTTTTCAGGACAATCACTTGAGTTCAAATGTATTGAGCAATTTAGTAGAAATGGTCAAAAACTGGGAAAAAAAAGCAAAAAAAAAAGGCATCACAAAAATTTAAAGTACCAATTGAACATCCAGAAGATATATTACTATTTCCAAACAATAATCCCTCAAATGAAACAAGCTTCTCCAAACAATTAAGTAATTAAAACCAGAAGTTCATTAGTAGAACCATACTGTTGTGCCCTTCCACTTTTCACCCTTTTATCCCCTCCAAGCTCCAGCCAAGTGTAGTTTACTAGCTTACATTTTTAAAGTGCAGGACATGTTATTAGCAATATTAAAAACTTCTGTTCTTGATAAAGGACTATACTGCCAGTGTGCTATAATTTTAACACATTTTTCATTATTATTTACTTATAATCTAGTGGACATAGTAAATAAAATTAGTTGGTTAATGTTATTGGAAAGGCTATATGGATAGTTAGATATATATGACATTTAAGTAGAACCACAACTCTTTTGATCAGCTGGGAAAGCATCCCTGTAATATTTTTAATTTTCTCAGACATAATCCTGGTTTCTCTTTTGTTTCTCACAGAAATTTGAATTTGCAATGAGGACAATGCACCAAAAATATAATTCAGTTCTGACTGATGTTAATGTAATCTGGAGCAGTTGTTTGGGGGTATTTTGGTTGGGTTTTTTTTTTAGAGAGATAATTATAATGTGGAAATTACAATATGTACATACACACACACGTATGTATATTCAGGACACTAAACCTATTTAGCTATCTCCCGATGAAGTTTTTTCTTTTTTAATTTACTGACAAGCTGATTGACAGACATCAGTTGGGATCCATCAGCACAAGCACCACAGGCAGTATTCCAACCATTTCCCAGCTATGTAACACACTGACATATTGGCCAAGATCAGATGTCACAGGTAAATACCCTTTTTTATTCAGCATCAGTGGCAGCACCCATTTGGCAAATGACTAGTGTGTGTTATAAAGAAACTCCAATGATGTGCTTTTTGTAACAGTGCATTTCAATGTGTAATTATACACAGTAATTGCACTGAAATAGTTGTCTCTTAAGATTTCTTCTTTTTTTATTAAAATACAAACAAGGTCACACACTTCTAAAAGATATACTCTTATGGGTTAATCTTTAATCTATGGTCACAGTCACCCCTTACCTCATTTCTTGGGGAGGGATGGGGAGGAGGGGGGAGGAAGAGATGCTTCAGACAAAGAAAATTGTCCTATTCATCCATAGATGTTATTTTAATTGGTTAGGAGGAATCATTGTCAAATGTGTTACATATCTGCATGGAATTTATAGGCAGCCATTGTTGCCAGTGCTCTATTCACTCCAACCAAGGGCACGCAGGGTTATCAGGCAGAACTGTGTGAGACCAGGAAATAAATCTGCAGGAAGCAACTCAGATACTCAATGTAGCTGTCAGGCAAAGGCTTGCAAAGTGATGAAAGAAAAAAACTGCACAATAACAACAATCATTACTCCCTCAGTCCTGGGAACTATATCCTGTTAGAGAGACGAGCTAAAAAAGTTCACTATTTACCATCACAGTTTCATAAAGAAAAGATGACTTATTGTACTGCTAAGTTTTTTAATTAATAATCTATTCTTTCTTTTTTATAATATGGCTTAATTAGCCCAGACACTCAACAAAACTTGTACAAAAACATATGGCCACAGAAAACACTCTGATGTCATGGATAATCCACTTAGGTTATCATAAGACCCTGTATTATTATGAACAGATATCATTGACCAAATCACTCATTACCTAACAGCAGCTCAGAGATATTTTGTTATTTATAATACTTAAGTACTCTTTTTAAAAACAAGTAACTCCCTGGCTAGCATATAAGTGTGCAGGTACATTAAAATATAATTACCCTAAAACACAAATTAATAAAGTGCTTTCAGAAACTCCACGTATCTATAATCTAATACTCTTTAGTTGTATTTGCTATGTAATATTGAATCTAATTAATTTATTCAAAGTGTATTTCTATACCTTCATCCCAGTTCAATTTAGTGGTTTTAAAGTAGTATAAAAATAAAATCGCAACATTGAGAAGGCAGCTACTTAAAAGGAATTTTCAGACGATCTTCAGGAACAATTCTATTATTGGTGATTCACATGAAAATTATCATTTCTAAACATGTTCCCAGCACTCAACTGAAGTTTGTAACATGTCTAAAATAGTGAGCAGAAATAAAAAGTGTTCTGGTGATTCCCAAACTGAGATCCTGTATCTTCCAGAGCAACTTTTCACAACTTTGCATCAAAAAGGTACAAAGAGTGGTTTAAAACATCTGCTCAGCACAATGCTATAAACTATTTTGCTAATATTTTGGTTTACTTGCAAAGTATTGTCTCAACACAGATGCGCAGTATAAAAGTAGGCGTAAAATTTCATCTTTAAAAATATAAAAATCACCATCGAAGCAACATCAACTGCAACCGACGCACGGAGCCCCGTTAAAGCAACAAAAAGAAGTCTTGCGTACGCAAACCGAAAGCAGTTACTCTTTTCATTTTTTTTAATTAAGTGGCTGATTAGAAAAATGAGAGGAGTGATCACAGAAGGCTGGCCAGCCCTTTCCTCCACTTTCACAGTTAATGTAGGCCATACAAATATTAAATTCTAATGCCAGCCTTGCACTTGTTGTGAATGTTAAAGACCATGACAAACTAGAGTCAATAATGCATCCGATTTGAACTGCGGGAGGTTGAATACCTTCTGTGAGCTGCAGTTATGACCTTACAAAACAACCACACTTTCCCAAAATTAATAAAAACCTGCAGTGAAGCCAAAATTGAAGCTATGTCTTTTTTTCCTGGCAGTTCTTACCTTTTTGTTGTTCTCTTTAATATCTTGAGGATTCAGGAACTTGTAGTCACTGAGGGGGAAAATGGCACAGTGGGTATGTACAGTATTTGATAAAAGCAGCAGTTTTAAAACAAACTGAATCTAAAAATTTGACATACAATAATATCATACAGTAACTAGCAATTTCACAGCAATTCAATCAACAAAACTAATAGTGTGGAAAATTAAAGGAATAAATAAATAAATAAATAAACAAACACCGATTACATGTTTCATTGCCTGAAGCTTTCCATCTAAAAAAGAAGTTAAGGCAGGGACTAGAGGCCGGCCTTGACAACCAAATTTACCAGGAGGTAATCCGTCCTTGTCAGCATACAAAGAGCTACAGGCTTATTCCTCTCATCTCATTTCAACACCGGCACAATTTTCATAATCATCTTGAAGTCAGTTCTTTGTATAAGATTAAGAAGAAGAAAAACAAATCACAGAGAGGGGAGAAACAACTGTTTATGCAACAAGGGAGAGCAAAGAGGTCATAAAGTTTGAGCATTCATAAATCTGTTTTCTTAGAAAGGATGGTTCCCTGCTTGAAAGAAAAGGGTGAAAACAGTTCAACACCTGAAACAAACAGGGATTTGATTTTTACATAAAGTAAAATGTTGCATATTTCTAGGAGAGTTAGCTTACACAGACAGAAAGCATACAACTTACATTAGGTCTGGTCTAAAGTGATGTAATATTGCACAAAAGGATAAACCGTTTCTCCACGATGTAGTAAAATTGGTGATTTTCACTCCCCTATAGTTTTTTGTAACTTCTTTGCACCACACAAGCAGTGACTGACTAGCATTTGGCTTTCTCCCCAAAACAGGACTTGGTATTGGGCTTGGCTGTGAAAAAAAAAAAGAACAGAAAAAAGAGAAGATGATAAAAGAATTTAATGGAAGATGAGAATTAACATTAATTGACCTAACTGGATGATCTGTATCCTTTGATGTGAGTTTAGGTTCTTCACAGCTGTCAGTTTACAATGACTGTAACTTGCAAAAGACACAAATCGCAAGTTATTATCTCCACTCGTCGCCCTTGGCACTTGTCTCCAAAGGATATAGATATACAGGATTCCAGATCTACATAGGAGAACAGGCCAAGAATTGTGCCAGTGGAAACACTGCTGAAATACTTAAGGCATTGTCCTGCACAGCCCGTGATACACACCCTTGAAAAGATTTCCCAAAACGCAGCCATGGAAAAGCAGCCCCACAAGCCCTTTCGCTTTTAATGAAGATAACAGTGTGACTGGATCAAAAGCCAGGCATAGTAGAGGCAGAGTTTACCACAAGTTGCAATCTACTATTGCGGTGTGGGGATCAAAGTCGCTGCATCTGCAACATGATTAATGCATTCCTCATACAGGCTCCAGTGAAAAGTTTTTGGCTGTGCTCTTCCTGTTTAAGCACGCGATTGCATAAAGGTAATTACAGGACGGTGTTTCTAAACAGCCACTTCCAACTATACCCAAGGAGCCTCCTCTTCCAAGCTTTAGTTTTTCTACGTGGAAAGGGAATTTCGGCCATAAATCGTTATCAGAGGGTCGTTTCTAACAAACATCATTAGCTAATAATGACCATTTCCCAAAAGGGTACTTTGACACTTTTAGTAACACTTTTGTTAGCACAAACCAAGAATTAAAATGGCATAAAATATTTCAGGCATTTGTCATTTGTCAGGCTGTCTGCTGTTTCTCAAATTCAGCAGAGAACGTATGGATTGCAGCTGACGTTTTCAAGAAATAGGCACTCATTTAACCAGAAAAATATTGTCGCTTTAAAAACTTAAGTCATAATTGAACAGACAGAACTTGACTGACATAAATCCAAAGTCTGAATTATAGGGGAAAAACTGAGCCCACTTATTTTTTCAATGTAATATAATTAAAAGCATATATACAAACATGCTGTTTATGCACCTTATAGCTAGAGAATTCCCAAATTAAGATAAAAATAGAGCAAGTAATTTACTATATCACAGCCACTTAAGTTTAACAAGTAAATCCTTTTGGCTGTATTACCTATTTGTGAAAGACCAACGATGCCCCCACTTGACTAAAGTATGTCAGTGCTAAGCAATTAGCTGCTTGCTACCAACTGATTTATGGTTTCACCGCTTCTGAGTAAGAAAATGTACAGAAACAGGAAAGTAATTTTTCATTTACTGTGACAGTCAGCCCTAAAAAGTTGTTTTATAAACACACCTGCCTCATCATCAGATAGAAGCACTGCCAACTCATTTAGAAAGTCCAAAATGTATACCTTGCTGAGATTTTTTTTAAATACCAGATCATATGTACAAACTAACTTGTTAAAAAGTGTATTGCTTTTTTTTAATCCTGTCAACAATTGAAATCAGCATGAACAAATCTGTTAACGATGAGACAAATATCTCTAAATACACTGAATTAACGTCTTAGCAGGGATATACAAAATAGAGATGAAAAAGCAGCAATAAGTGATAAACTTTCTGCACCAGGCATGATTTTAACCAGAGAAACAAATATTGCTTAGAAGCTGTCAGACATTTACTCCAGATTCAGTGATGTAAGATCAGGTTTTTCTCCTGTTTTTTTACAACTTGAGGCAAAACCCACTGACTCACTAACCACTGACCCCAAATTTAAAGTATTACATTACTTAAAATATATTTTCTATCTAAATTATATATATGGAGATAACACCCCTGGAGAAAATAATTAAAATAGCACTATCAAGATGTGGAAAAATGACAGATTTTTAAAGCACAGAGTTACTTCTTCAAACCAGAGCACTACCTACCAGATATATTAAATGTCAACTATAAAGTCTTAATACTTGTTGCTGAAACTCTCTACAGAAATTTTAAATGTTCTAGTCACCACCTAAATACTTTCTGGTTAACGCTGAAATGGCCTTATGCAATATTACCATTAAAATGCCTTAATTACACATCTAACAAACTGAAGATGCAGCTGATTTTAAAACTAGGCTTTAAAAAAGGACATCCAAAGCTATTAAATCAATAAATTTAGCATAATTTTGCATTTTATTTACAAATTATCGATTTTTTAAAATCCAGATTACAATTCCTTGGAAATCTGTACTTAAGTTGGAGCTTTTTTTCCATGTTTGTCCTTCCATTTACTTTGGATTTTCTAGAAGTATTTTATCCAGAATATGCAAGATTTAGGACGTGCATAATGTACTTACACAGTTTTGTCTTCTCTAGCTGATAAAGCAAAAGTCATATACAGTTTTCTTACCAGGCTTAGTACTCCAAGTACTTCAGATAAAGGTGAAGTTAATGTTATGATATAGTTATGCTCTTATTCACCATGAGTCAAAGCTCTCATTATTTAATCTACGATAAAAGCATCCAACTCAAGACACACTGGAGATATATGAGTAATGGCAGAACCACACATAGGCACTTGACATCCCTTCAGAAGGGTTAGTTTTGATTTTTTTGTGAATCATCATTACAAAAAACATTTTCTTTCAATACCTGTATGTTATACATATTAGTTACAGGTTCAGTGCAAACACAATTACTACCAAGTGCCTATTTCTGGCATATATTTGCTCTACAAGATTGGTAGGAACTCATCAAATGAAATGAAAACTTAATTAGCTTTTTCTTTCATAATTATTTTAAGCACTGACTACACAATTCTTCTAAACTGCACGACAGTCATGACTTGGCTTTTTGAGTTCAAAAGCCAGAATTCCTGAGAACTCATTTGGAATTGCCACTAAAAAGCATGAGATATCCACAACAGATTGCCAGATCTGCTCACTGGTCAACAGGTTACTGAATCTAACACAACTGATTTTTATCCAGCTGTGGATTAACTGCACAGCAAGTACAGAGGTTCCAGAGCTGGTCCCTCACATGCCAGCCCAGATCTAGATGCAGCATCATCTGGGTGGATTTATCAGCTGGAGTCAGCACTAGCTTCAGGGTATCTTTGTTTCACAGTCAACAGAAGCACTGAAGCCTCTTTATTCTTCTTTTACATGCTCTGGAAGCTTAATTAATACATTTTATAGTGTATGCATTTTTCCTCTTGGAAGATTATCCCGTCAGACCATTACGTTAACAAGAGGACAACAGCTTTAAATATTAGGCTGCATCCCTACATTTCAAAGTGTTTAAAGAATTTTTTTGTGGCTCTCAGGAATGCAGCATGATGCGCACTGATGGTTCACAAAGTGAAGGTTGAGCTGCATCTCTGACACACACGGGCCAAACCAAGAAACTGGTGATGGGAACATGGGGCTATGAACCAAGCCCTTGTATGAGACACGGGGGACAGCCAGAGCGAAGATCGTAGGGGCTCAGTCTGAGCCGCTCTCAAGAACTTGCTGACAGGTTGCATGTGGGTAAAGAGTTTAAAGAGCGCAAGAGATGGTGTTGAAGGCTGGAAGAGAAAGATGCTGTCCTGGTTTTGGCTGGGATAGAGTTAATTTTCTTCATAGTAGCTAGCACAGTGCTGTGCTTTGGATTTAGTACTACAAGAATGTTGATAACACACTGATGTTTTTAGTTGTTGCCAAGTAGTGCTCAGACTACTCAAGGACTTTTTGAGCTTCTCCTGCTCGGCCAGGTGCATAACAAGCTGGGAGTACAGCACAGCTAGGACAGCTAACCCAAACTGTCCAAAGAGCTATTCCATACCATAGAACGTCATGCTCGGGGGGGTTAGTCGGTTGCGGGCAGAGCGATCACAGCTCGGGGAGGGATCGCTGCTTGGGGCGGGGTGGGGCACGG